AAAAAAAAAAAAAAAAAAAAAAAAAAAGACCCAACGTAAGTGATACTTGCAAAGGGTTTACTCAGGAAGTAGTCTGAATCCACTGTTCTTTTTAATGTTGTTTTCTTTAGACAAATCCCCTCATTTCCTGCGTCTCGGAGATGTTGAGGTGAACGCCGGCCAGAATGCCACCTTTCAGTGTATCGCCACTGGGCGAGACACATCCAACGATAAGCTCTGGCTTCAGGTAACATAAGAATGATTTTTTTCGGTGTATGCAAGCGGTTGTGTGCATATGTGTGCGGGTGTGCGCATGGCTGCCTCGCAAACCTCGATCAAGTCCCGTTAACCCTGGTGCCTGTTTCCGACTGTCCTCGACAGCGGCGAAACGGAGAAGATATCCCCGTGTCGCAGAGGAAGAACATCAACCACCGACGATTCTCCGCCTCGTTCCATCTCAACGAAGTCACCAATCAGGATCAAGATTTGTATCGCTGCGTCACCCAGTCGGAGCACGGCTCGGGGGTGTCCAACTTCGCCGGTCTTATTGTCAGAGGTGAGGATTTTTATTGAAAATTGCTCCCCCCGAGGGATTGATATAGACTGACTTTTTTTCAGTGATTGGAAAATGAAACTAGAATCACACTCATCTGAGCTCGGACCTCTGCCAAGGCAGGATTATTTTAAATTATACCGAAAATCTAGAAGGGTCTATGTATGGCTGCGAAAATCAACAGTTTTGAATTTGGCTGATTGTGTGGCAAAATGGAGCCGACTCTGGCTGTCCGTTCAAAGTGGCGATGGAGCTTTGCTGAATCAAGCTGTTCCAAATTTTTATGTAACAGTGCAAAGCAGACACAGACACGTTTTCAGAAATGGGCAGATGACAAAACTTTTGTTGTGTAATTTCACACTCAGTGGGTGGAAAGGCACTCGAGAGACCAAACGATTTGCTTACGAGCACTAAAAAGTCACATTTTCCCTTGAAGGTCTAAAGAACAGCAACATGGCATCAGTTATGAGAAGTGGCGCTGCATTTAACCCCGTAGC